GATAGTCTATTGGTATGTGACAACATATCAGAAATAAGTAATTGCAAATCTCTGTTTCTTGCATATTAGTAAACGTAAAGACATGAATATGATTTTTATCACTGGATGGCATGATCACTTGCACACCGGGTACTTCACAGGGCTCATTCTTAAACTGGCCAATGTGACCCATTGTGAGATGTTGCTGCCCATACCAGACATTGGTGAGCATATTCATTAAATTCTGAACTCAAGTTGATCTGTTGCAGGCTCACTTTCCAAGGTATACCGCAGAGAATCTAGAGAAGAACAAACAACTATATTCCCGTCTAGCCAACATTGCTGCAAAGCATAATTACACCCCTCCTCAACTGGCTTTGGCATGGCTGCTTCATCAAGAAGACAATGTTGTCCCAATCCCGAGTAAATTATGCCCTCACATCTACTTTAGCCCATTGTTTTGCATTGTTGAGTTTCAATTCATAAAACATGTCTATGCATATTAACCAGGTCAAGATTAACTCAATTTCTATCCCTAAATCCCATATACTTCCACCATCCCCCACTCCCCCAAATCTTTTTCAGTTCACTATTAGAAAACTTTCAGCAGAAATCCATATACGTGGTTCATGGTTTTGAGCATAATCTGAGATTTTGATTAACTGGATGGTTCCAAATTTTCTCGGCCTATTTATTAAACAAGGACAACCAAGGTTAATAATCTTCATAGTGGGATTGGATCATTAGCACTGAAGTTTACTGAAAAAGGATTTGAAAGAAATTTCTGATGCAGTTCCCATGGATGAAGTGGCTGGTGACAGAGATCTGAAATCCCTTGTAAAATTCTCTCGGAAATTAGCGAACACACCAGCAAAATCATGAGTAAAAACTACATAATAAACTATGTGGAGCTCATATTTATCCACTTCCTAATGGTTTTGTTTCTGAAAGTGATTCTTTTTAGTTACAAACTTGTAATGCTGATAAATAAGAGGATGGTATACTATCCTGCTTGAATTCTACGTATACATCTTTGTGTGATTTTTTTGGAATAAATAATCTCAGGTAGCGTTTGGTTCATTAGAATAAAATGGAATGATCATTTCATCAAAATATTTATTCTCATGTTTTGTTAGATTAAAAAAAATAATGACTAATGCATTATAAATGGAATAAACTTTCACCATTTTAAAAGAATGGTCATTCTATAAAAAAGCCTAAGGAATCACCATTTCATTGCATTCTTTTCCCTCTCATTCTCTCATTTCAAAGAACCAAATAGCGTATCAATCTGTCTCGCTCTCAAGTTATTTTTATTTAAACCAAACTAAACTAAAATTTAAGTCTCATCAAATGGGATCAGCTATATGAATTCTTTTTGTTCATTTGACTCTATCAAAGGTTATTGATTTAGTCAAATTAAGGAGATTTATATATCTATTTACTACACCAGTTCGCATCAATCTAGGTCTGCCTCTTCCCCTAACATTTTCCTCTACTATCACTGTATCGCATCTCTTCACTACTGCCTCTATTGGTCTCCGTTGTATATGGCCAAACCATCTCAATCTATTCTTTCTTAACTTATCTTTTATCGGTGCTACTCATACCCATTCACGAATATACTCATTTCTAACTCTGCTTTTTCTAATATTACCACGCATCTACCTTAGTATCCTCGTCTCATCAATATTCATTTTATCTATATGTTATTTCTTAGTTCCCCAACATTCGGTCCCATACAACATTGTTGGTCTAATAGTCGTTCTATAGAACTTTCCTTTTAATTTAGTGGGTACTCGTTTATCACATAGTACCCTAGACGCACTCTTCTACTTAAGCCACCCCGCCTTAATTTTATAGACCACATTTGCTTAAATCTCCCCAGCCGTTGTGAGAATTGATCCTAAATAACGGAAAAATTCACTCTTAGGTAGTTCTTGGTTTTCAATCCCCACTTATCCTCGGTTTTCATTATTACTATTATTAAAATTACACTCCATGTACTCTGTATTAGTTTTGTTTATCCTAAATCCTTTAGATTCAAGTACTTTTATCCAAGTCTCTTAGTGTTAATTCTTTCTCTAGTCTCATCTACTAACACGATATCATCTGCAAAAAGTATACACCATGGCACATCACCCTGAATATTTTTCGTCAACTAATTCATAGCCAAAATAAAAAGATAAGAGCTTAATGTTGATCCTTGGTATACCCTCACAGTAATTGAAAATTCACTTGTTTCTCCAGCCAACGATCTAATAGTGGTTACCATGCCTTCATACATGTCTCTAGTCCTATCAATGTAGCCTTTTGTCACCCCTTTCTTCTCTGACACCCACCAGATTATATCCCGAGACACTCTATCATATGCTTTGTTAAGATTGATAAAAACCATATGAATGTCTTTTTTCTTCTTTTTATACTTTTCTATTACTCTCCTTATAAGATAGATCGCTTCCATTGTTGACCTACCGGGCATAAATCCAAATTGATTCACTGACACCTCTATTATATCTCACAAACGACGTTCCATTACTTTCCCACACTTTCATTATACGACACATTAGGTTGATTCTTTTATAGTTGTTGCAATTCTTGACATCTCCTTTATTTGTATAGATTGGCACCAAAATACTCTTCCTCCACTCCTCTGGTATTTTACTAGTTAACAAAATCTTGTTCAATAACCTAGTTAACCAAGCAACCCTTTCTTACCTAAACATTTCCAAGTTTCATAGGAATATCATCAGGTCCTAAAACTTTATTCGATTTCATATTTTTAAGTGTAATCTCCACTTTAAAGTTCTTAATCCTGCGATAGAACCTGTAGTCTTGGTTTTCCTTATTACGGGCTATTTCCTCCTCTTTTGACCTTCATCCATGTTCCTCATTTAACAATTTCTCAAAATAGTTCTACTACTTATACTTAATTTCTTCATCTTTCACCAATACCTTAGAGTCCTCACTCTTAATGCACTTAACTTGATTAAAATATCTTGTTTTTCTCTCTCTTATCTTAGCAAATTTGTATATTCTCTTCACTCCCTCCTTACTATCTAGTTTAGTGTACAAGTCATCATAGACTTTCAACTTAATCTCTCTCACTACTTTTTTGACCTCCTTATTAGCCAATATGTATCTCTTAAAGTTTTCATCAGTTCTATTCTTCTGTCACTTTTTAAAGCACTCTTTTTTCGTTTTTAGAGTTAGGTCCCTTTCTTTTCGACTCTCTAAGGATTTTCCTTGAGATTCTCCTCATGCAATTGGCTATCGAATTCCACATAGTGTTAACATCATCTTCCAAGCCCCAAGTACCTTCTTCATCTATTTTATTCTAAATACTTCTAGTTTATCCCCTTTTAGTTCCCATCATCTCGTCTTACAACACCCACTATCCTTCCTAGCTTAGTGTTGCCTTTTAAAGCATAAATCTAATACCAAAATCTTATGTTGAGATGTCAAGCTCTCTGCAGGATTCACTTTACAGTCGTTACATTTTAAATAGTCCACTTTTCTTACTAGAAAATAATTTATTTAACTCATAATTGATCCACTCTTAAAAGTTATCAAATGTTCTTTTTTTCTTATACATAGTATTGGCCACCACTAGGTCAAAAACCAATGCAAAATCTAAGGTTGAGTTTGGTAGAGTTTTAAAATTATAATTTGATAATAGAGTTGTATTTTGAGTTTGTGAATTTTGCAATTGTGATTTGAGTGTGAAAAATTTGTTTGGTTATGAATTTTAAAAAGAGTTTGAATTGAGTGATGTGACATATAATATTAAAAAGTGAGTGTTTTGAAAAGTGGGTGTGAAATTAATTTTTTAAAGTTGTAACCAAACAACATACTCAAACTAAGGGATAGAATTAAACTTTAAAACCTCTACCAAACAGAGCCTAAAATACTCTCTCCAGTCTCATTTCTATCACCAAAACCATACCCACCATCCGGTGAAATCTCTATCTATGACAAAATTCTCTCCACCGAGTATTTCCTATAATACCTCATCCATTTGGTTTTAAAAATCTCTTTTAGTCTAATCATCTAATCCTACTTGGAAGGCATATACACTAATAACGTTCACTACTCCACTAAGTAATTTAATAACGTTCACTTTATTAATTTTAATTTGGATGAAAATAATCAAATTAGCTATCCCAACTCTCTTCTATGCACTTTCCGGTAATAAGGTCATGAAGAGTACAAACTAACCAATCCCTAGACGGATCTGTTCAATTCCATATGACCGAACCATTACCTTCTCTTAGGCAGCTTGTAAATACACAAACATTTTTTTCTTTCCACCCTCAAACAATTTATTTTTTAAACAATTTTACATTCAAACACAATTACCATTAACAACAAAATTACAAATTTGATAGGCCATTTATCCATGTTCTTTTATGTTTAAACAAGGAAAGTTTTTGAGCAACTATATTATGAAAGCTGACTTTGAGCAAAACTCTCTTATTCATTACCTTTGTGAAATCTCAAATTCAACTGTACACAAAAAGGCCTTCATCGGTCAGTCTCTTAGACATATAAATATAAAAGAATGAGAAGAATACATTTGTTTTAACCATTTATATATATACGTATTCACGGTGAAACATGATCATTTTCTGAATGGGTGTACTCCATTGCACCTTTCATAGGTCCACCTGAACAGTGTGCCTATTCACTTCACTGTTTTGATGCGGGTCATTGACTTCTTCTACTGCATAACTATCCTGTTTGCAGCCAAATTGAACAATCATGTCAACTTGTGAAGTTGTAATCACATTTAACTTAAGAGTGGTCTGTCGACTGAAAAGAAATAAAAACAATAACCATAACAAAATATCATATAATCCCTAAAATATCATATAATCCCTTGACCAAATTCCATCAAACAAGTTCTGATAAACGAAGCCAGAACTCTTTCTGCTTCTACAAATGATAATTTCACTCAACAAAGATGAAAAAACTCAACCAACAGACAACAAGAATGCCATTCTAATCCAATAGTTTTTTTAATTTTTTTAATTTTAATTATGATTTTCTAGAGTTAACATTACTCGTAAATTTTGAAACTGGGAGCCACAACAGAATCAATGTGGATGCTTGCTTATCATGTCTAGGAAAAGCAAAACAGGCATACACTTGTCAGACCCAATACAAAATATTTACTACACGTCAATCATTTTTATGAAATAAAAACTTAGTTCCACACAAGCTATTGACTTGGTCTACTGTCATGAGCTAGTCTACTTTTATTTTTATTTTATTTATTTATTTATTTATTTTTTTGGATAAATAATCAAATTTTATTAAAAAGTATCAAGACGATGCAAAGAATATAAAAAGAAGCCCACCAAAGGCTAAACAACACTAACTAATCAAATTCTCCACAAAATTAACAAAAATTAAAACATTTGGATCAACTGTACCCCTCACCCAACTATGCAACACCATCAACAATCGACTTTTTAACCATGAAATGAGATGACACTCATCCTGAAACACGCGCCCATTCCGTTTCAACCAAACCAACCAGAGCAAACAATGGGAAGAAAGCACCCAAGCCTTGCGGCGCTTCTTCCCCACCCTAGCCCTACCCCAACTCTGTAATACTCCCAACACAGAGACCGGTTGCACCCACACCAAGCCAAACAAAGCAACCACAAAATTCCAAAGTCTAGACACAAACGGGCAATGAAGAAGCAAGTGATCCACCGTTTCCGCATCCCTACAACACATACAACACCAATTGACCAACACGTGTCGCCGCCGAATCAAATTATCAATAGTAAGAACACGACCCAAAGCATCCCCTGCAAAAGAAAAAAGCCACCTTCGTTGGACAACCCGTCGCCCAGACACACTGCCAAGGAAACACACCGATAGCATCCCCTTCAAGCGCCCCATAAAATGAAGCCACTGAGAAGACACCTTTAGACCTCCAAACATCCCACACTACAAAATCCACCCCATACCCCCGCAGCAACTCATGAGCTGGTCTATTTCCAGCTCCTATTCCATATGTATTATAGAAAAATATAACAGAAACATATTCTTCATCACAATTGTGACTTACTACCAACAATTGGTGCTGGCTGCACAACGTAGTCTGCTAAGGGAAAATATATCCATCTGTTAAATATGACGCATATCATAGAAGCACTTCTTCCAATTTCTTCTAAAAACATCCTAACAAAATTATGCAAAATAGAACATAACTCCAGAAAAAAAAAAAAAAAAAATTAATAAAAAAAATAAAAATAAAAAGAGAGCAAGGTAAGCAACCACCTAAAAGCAATATAGTACATCAATATTGAATCAAACAAAAAATATCTCTTTGAGAGTTAACTCTTTCTTTATGAGTTAATTCATTTTCACAGCACACAACATTTTCACAGCACTAATATCTAGAAAGCTATGAAGCATGGGTACTTCAAAAAACATGCCGTACCCGTACTGAGTATTTACCGGCTTATGGTATCTCGTATGATACTTCTGCATACGTACTGGGCGCATGAAACACGTATCCAAATTTTTTCTTCTTAATTTTTGACGTACCCAGACGTACCTAGTATATACCCAAACCGTACCGTACCTCAATTGAAACAATATTTTCTTCTACCACAGAGATAAAACTCCTTTCACTAGACTTTCTTTTTTATTTTTTGTTTTATGCTTAGCATGATTTTAAAATTAAACTATGGTTTCTAAGTTATTTAATATATTGACATTTAATTTTGATTTATATCTTTAGTTTTGGCATTAAATATTAATTATAGGTTGGACCTTAACAAATTAAACCATTTAATTAATTATTGCATTATCTAAATTAAAAATAAATTTTACAAGTGTACCAAGTCGTACCCGTACCGTATTAACATATTATTTTTTTAATTTTACCGTATTAACGTATCCGTATCGTATCAGTACCAATACTCGTACTCGTACCCATACCCATACCCGTACCCGTGCTTCATAGCTAGAAAGAATAACACAAATACTAGCAGAGTATGAAGGGGTGAGGAACAATCAGTCAGGCCCATAAAAATCAATGAAGCCAAAAATAAAAATAAAAATAAAAAAGAAAATAAAAGAAAAGAAAATTCTTGGATTCATGATTGACATCTTTAAAACATTTGAGGAAACAATATACTTACTTTTACAGGCAAATCAACTGGAAACAGATTTAGGCTACTGGGATTAAAACTGAATGAGCTGCAGAAAGGAATGTGACAAGAAAAAGAAATTAGTGCCTTAGTGGTATGCAAATATGAATGAAAAGGTTGAATAAATAACGAGATTCAAGATGGCTCCATTCAGTTGCTAATATTTAGTTAATAGACCCAATCATGCTTAAAAATTCAATCAAAGCTATTCTTAATCAACTAAAATCTACAAATAAGTGCATCATGCTAGAAATTACAGACGGCAACATAATAAAAACTAATCCATCCACAGCATGCATATCTTTATTTCCGTCTTTTTAACAGGAAAATAATGTTCTAAAGTGAGAAAAAACAGGTACTAACTTTAAAATGTAAAATGCAGTTTGTTACATTGTATATATTTTTATAACATCTTTTAAGGCAGAAGCATAGATCCTACAAAAAAAATGTGCATCAAGTGCAGGAAACATACCTGCGAGATATAACTAGCTGCCACACATAAGGAATAAAGAACTCCTCAGGATGGCTCTCTTGTTCATATGTAAAGCGTAATTGAGTAAACATCTGTTAATTGGATAAAAAAACCATAAAAAAGGATCCCACTATTGGATAAACCTACTAACACAACCATTTGCTTTGTACCTTCATGCCATCACCACGCCAAGAACGACAATTTATGATTATGACTTCGAGGACTCTCTCCACCGACCATTCACCATTCATTCTTTGGGCATCCATGCGGCTATTGAAAAAATCTAAGACCTACAAAAATTAAAGATTATGAGGGAAGAAAATAAAGGGAAAAAGACGTATATACAACCTACAGTAAGAATGTTCTCAAGCACATACAGTAAAAATGTTCTCAAGCAGCTCATTAAAGCGAGGATGATTCCTGAAAGGCTGAAAGACCTCCTGCCTGTGCATAATCGCATATACAACCTGCTCCAATGCATACAATGAAAAATACCCACAATATGAGAGGAGAGAGGTGGGGGAACCAAATCCAGATGCATATGGTCTCAGTGATAATGATGATGATACCTCAGGGTTACGTGAAAGAGCGTAAGTCAGTATTGCATTTAATATTTCCAGAACAATCCTCAGGAAATCAGTATAAATATGCAATTCTGTCGACTGCAAGAAATATATGTGTGTATTTAGAAGAAAAATAATTTGGAAATGTAAGATAAGATCTAAATAGTAATGAAGCTAAAGGTATCGATTATGGTGACAACCATCTCTTCTGGAAGGCTGTCTCCTCTTGATTCACCATTCCCTATACGCATCTTATCATTTTTTAGCTCTGCTAATTTGGTGTACCTAACACACAACGTTTTAAAAAGATGACCAAATCAAAATCCCATAAAAGTAAAGATTCTATTAAAGTTATCAAGTATTCCACGTAAGAAAATTGATCAGACTGCTCTATGGAAACAATAAGAGACATACTTGCGTGAGAGCATATCAAAGAGGCTAACGAGTCTCTGTGATGCATATGCACTCAAACGGTGGACATGGGGTGCCATGTTGGCCAAAATTGCAAGACAGTTTGTGTGGAGGTAAATATCCTGCACCAATTAAATATGTCAAACACTACAGTAGGGAAGCCTCTGTAAAACCAACTGTTTCAGATACTTATCTAGATCTCAACACATCCATCAATATATCCCATATGCAGGGTAAAGACTTACTTTCCAGTGTATTTACAAATGTTTGGTAAAAACTTACTTTCCAATGTATTTTCTGAAGGTTACAATGTCTATTGACCATATAGATATAGACACATCCATAAATATATTGAATGGCCCTAAAGATGCTAAGAACTGAGGCTCTATATCCTATGGAAAAAGTTCATTTTTCTCTTGCCATCATTTAGACTGTATTTTTAATGTGACGAAGTTGGGGATGTTGCACCCTTCAAAAGAGATCTGTCTGTGTAATTAGAATTAGGATAAGTTACATGACATGTGAGAGACAACTAAAGTTATTAGCCCAAATATGAGCAACTATGTAGGAAGAGATTGTCCTTTGTCCTTTTGCATTTAAGGTTTATATAATAAATGTTCATTATTGTTATGATGATTTGCCATTAATTTTATACAAGTTAGAGATATATGAAAATGTTAATAAGCAATGGACTAACAAGAAGAGTTAATAATATTCTAACAGTACTGTAATTTTCATCATTAATTTGTAGTATTTTTTTTTTAAAATTTTTTTTGAGTGAAGGGGCGCATCAACTAGATAACTACAAATAAAGATAGTCAAAGAAATTCTGCCCATGGTGAAAAGATACTACATTTCCATCAGAGGTAATTCTTGTATTTTAGAATTGTTAATATATCAGAATGTTTTATGTGTGGACTGTGATTATTTTCCCATGGCATAACTAATAAATTCTCTATCAGTATACCACATGATTTTGTTCCTCTATTAATGTGTGTTCATGTAAGTCTTAAAAGGGAAATTGCCTGAACTCACAAATTTTCCACGCACAAAAAATATATATACGACAATGCTAGGTAGCTCAAATTTTTGTGGCTTAAATGGCTCAAATCTGTCAAAACGACGTCGTTTTGACAGATTTTGAGTGTAAAACGACGTCGTTTTGACAGATTCGTTTTGACAGATTTGAGTGTAAAACGACGTCGTTTTGACAGATTTGAGCCACAAAAATTTGAGCTACCAAACATTTTCCATATATATATATTTAAGAAATTAAAAAATATATATCTATACTATTATAAAGTGAACACCTCTTATGGTGTCCTGAAGCTTTACTCTTCTCATGCCATGTGACCGTATTTTTTATTTTTAAAAAAAAAGTTAAACAAAGAGATGGGCAAGGCTTGAACCCATGACCATGGGTTTAAATACGAGGACTCATACCACTTAAGCTAAGTACATATAATATTAATTTCATTATTATTTTTTTTTATTCCTACTTATTTAAATTGCACACACATCATGTGTGCCACCCACTAGTATATATATATCTTTACTTAGCATCAACATTGAAATTGATATATCTGAATTTTATGATCTCAACGTATCTCCAAAAATTCATATTGTAAGCATTGACAAATTTTGACAACAAGCACGTAGACAATCTTCTTTTCACGGGTCATACAAATCAATCTCAATTTCTGAACTGAAACAAGGAATCTATCACAGCAATACCAAGAGAACACATAACAAAGTATTAAAATATAAATAATTGTAAAAATTTATGTATTATTGATTGATATATTGATTGATGTGTAAATTACAGATGGTGAGGTACTAATTATATAGGAGAGGATTGGAGAGTAGGTGAGTGTGTGTGGTAGGTGAGTTGAGTGGAGGTGGTAGGTGATGATATATTCTAACAATAATCAGCAGACATGGGCACCAAGCCATACCCGTAGCTTAGATAGGTTGTAATTCACAGTCCTTATCAGAATTATGATCATCAAGGAACCAAGAGAAGTTTGATGGAGCAAGCGTTCTTGGTACCATGAAACACTGGGCAGCATCTGTTCAAATAAATAAGATGTTAATATGATCTTTATATAATCCAGTTAAATGCTAGCCTAAAGAGGCAGTGCTAACCAGCTTGTGAATACTGGCATTGAAAGAAGAATCTTGACTAAGTATTAGCAGGATAATCAGCACCATGTAGATTTGATTGGATGTCCCTTTTGAAGCATTATACAGTGTTTCCAGCATGGGCATCAACTGTTGATTTCATTGCATAAATGCAAATCAAATTAGGATATGTGGCATTTATGTTACGTAAACTACTAAAATGATGACTGCTCATAAGATTTTGTAGTAACCATTGTACACAAAATTTTGTAAATTGTGTCCATAACATCACTTATCTGACAAGTAATAACCATTGTTCTTTTTTTTCTTCTTTTTTTTCTAAAAAAATTATTTTATCTTTTGCCAAGGTTACCACACAACAATAGGTGGGCTAACTAAATACAAATAAGATGGGAATGATAGCTGCCACTCCATACCAGTGTATCCAAATCTGTTCGCACCAAAACATACTCCAGAAAATCTGAGTTCCCATGCACTAATGAGTAAAGCAGTAAGATAGCAGTTTCATCAGCCAAGTACCTGAGGAGACAGTAGTCACAAAACCAATAAATTTACTTAAAGGATAAACAAATAGATAATACAATTTGATGATATGCACATAAAGTTTTTAATGGTGAATGCATAATGCTAGGCACTTTACCCCTTGTGATACAAGCTATAAGCCTCAAGGCGTAAACATTTTGAATTCTTATATTTAGTAAACAACTAAAATATGTTAAAATATTGTAAATTAAATATAAAAGTGCAAATACATTTTGTCTCAAAGCATCAAACATTTCACTCCAGAGAAGGAAGCTTGCACTCTTTACACGTGAAATCAACATTCTTAGCTTCAGTTTTCAAGCCTTAGCTTTGTGTTTTTTCTTGGTCAATAATTTACTTGATTTTTCTCATGAATATAGTTACAAAAGGAGTTCTTTTTATGTTTAAATAATGTATTAGACTAAGTTTAACAACAATCCAAGATCAAGATCTCCATATGCATAAGCCTTTGAGGAGTGTCGCCTAAAAATAAAGCCTCAAGGCAAGGCAAGCCTCGATAATGCGTTTTAAAACTTTGTATGAGAGAGAAATAGAGCAATACCATTTTCTACGTTTTTTCATTTCTTTTAGATGGATGAGATAGGTCAGTTCATGCTGCTCAAAGACCAACCTCAGTTAATAAAAAAAACACTCTTAGCAATTGTCAAGAAAGAATTTATCTAAGGAATTAAAAGGGGAAATGATTAATATAGTGTATGAGGCAATATGGAGCATAAAAAAGACATTTCAAAGACATTTAAAGCTAACATGGTCTCATACATATTATCCATTACTACAAAATGCTTAACATTAGTAATACTACGGGGCACCACAGGACATCACAGTATCATATTACTTGCATTACTTGCACCAACAGGCATAAAACAAGAGGATTCTATTAAGGAATCTGTAACTTGAATTACAACCAAGATTCTAATCTAGTTTATTAAAGAAAGAAAAGAAAATCTGTGAATGTAATCCAAGGATGCCAACAAAGGATTAAAAAGGTAAGCAACCAAATAAAAATTCTAGCATTTAGATTTTGGATCTATTTTTCATATACTAAAATAATCATAATACAGATATGTTAGAATTTACCATCACCTACCACCACTACCACCTCACCTACTCCACTAAACCTAACCCACTACACCACTACCACCTCACCTACTCCACTAAACCTAACCCACTACACCACTACCACCATCCACTACACCTACATCTATATAAGGAACCATTTGTAATAGACAGAATAACAAGATCAATATATCAATCAATAATAATACATACAATTTATTCTCTCTCTTTCTCTATACATTATTTCTTACAAGATACTCACATGCCAAGAGTATCAAAGAGGGAAGCAAAAGGTAATCTCACAAGTGGACCACAGTGTGCATTCCCCTCAATATCAACACGATCAACTGCAAGCAGGGGACTGGTTTACTTAGCAGTGCACAAAATAAGCCCCATAACAATCAAACGATTACAATTTTGAGAACCTTACATTCAATATCCCTAACATTCTCTAAGGCCTTGCAGTAAGAGTTTTCAGAAAAATATGTATTTTCTTTGAGAAGAAAATCTGAAGTGGGACTGTCATCGCTTTTATCTTTCACAGTCTCCTCCATAACACATTTACGATAATAAATGAGAATAAGTAACACATGAAGACTGCTGTCTGCCAAAGGCCTTCTGGTAGCTTCACCACTTGAACTGACAAAGAAATTAAATGGCGATAGCACAAAACTTGCTGCAAGACAATCATAAAATTCACAAACTTCTGTCAGTAAAATAAGTCAAAATAATAAATAAACAGAAGAAAAAGACTCCAATGGTAAAAGGGGAAAAAAAATAGAAACAAACAACAACAATCTAGTGAAATTTATGAAACATTGCATCCAAATAACTCCGAACAACACTATGCTATTTTGATGACAAATGGCATAGCTATGGTGCATACGGCATATTAACAGAATAAAACCATACCAGCTGATTACTTGTAAAAAATGAGCATTATCAAATATATCACCATACCAGCTGCAGAACCAACTCTCTGTAAAACACCGGGCTGATTTCCTTCAGAAAACATGTCATAAGATGCAGTATTTAAGGCGAAGTGAGGTCGCATGATGTAATTAAGTAGCAGTTTGCGAACAACCAAACCAACAAAAGAGCTTTCCTGAAAATGTAAGAGCAAATTGACAGGCCAACAATACCGTTAAAAGAACTGCTGATTTTGGATGAGCTAAAAAAAGTCAGAAGTTCTGGTCACCTGGACCATTGCCATATCAATGAATGGGTGAATATCCTTGGGTCCTGGTGATGGTCCAGAAAGAAGCTGAGTTGACATGGCTACAAGCATGAAGTTAAGCAGCTCTTGGTGTAGGAGATATGTATTGGGACTTGCCAAAAATTTATAAGAAAATTAAATAAAATTAGGAAGATGATAAATACAAAATCGCAGCACTAATAAACATAGAGGATAGTCTATCACATACCTTACATCTACTTTGCCAATAAAGCTAAGCACACTATGCATAACAAGATTTTCAATATTTCGACCTGCAGTGCAAAACCCAAGGTCTCTTAAGGCGATGGAAATGAAAATCATAAAAAACATTTACAACACACTTGTAAACTGAAAGTTGGAAGAAAATATAAAAAGATCTCTAAAAAGATGGAGTCAAGGTTCTGAAAAGCGGTTGCGCTCGCCGTAACGGTGGCGGTGGCGGTGGCGCGGTTGTGGTTGCAGAGTGTAAAGGTCGTAGCGTAACGGTTGCGTTAACCGAAACCGTGAATTTTTTTATTTTTCGCACAATTTGAAAAAAACTTACTGATACGCACATTTTTTTCTATGATCATATTTATTGGGTTTTAAAATAAATATTGATCAATTTTCATAAATTTTTAAGTTTGATCCAATATATTTCATATTTTTAAATCACTATAAATTGAGTTTTTTACATTTTCTTTTAATAATTAATGACTTTATATTATACAAAAAATCAATCACTAACTATTATATATAAGATAAACAAGAATTTTTTTATTTTTCGCACAATTTGAAAAAAACTTACTGATACGCACATTTTTTTCTATGATCATATTTATTGGGTTTTAAAATAAATATTGATCAATTTTCATAAATTTTTAAGTTTGATCCAATATATTTCATATTTTTAAATCATTATAAATTGAGTTTTTTACATTTTCTTTTAATAATTAATGACTTTATATTATACAAAAAATCAATCACTAACTATTATACATAAGATAAACAATCACAAAAGTAAGAGAATAAATAAAAATCTAAATATATATATATATATTTTAATCAAGCCAAATAAATAATGACTACACTTATTATTATTATCATTATTATTTTCAAACAATATATATAGATAGACACACACAAACAAAATGTGAGTGATAGTAGCTGAATAAAATAGTATAAGTCTTACAGCTTCAACAAATCAATAATATGTTCTTCATCTTCCCTCTTCTCTCTCTATCTCTCTTTCCCCATTTTCAACTTTTTTTTTTTTTGTGTGTGTATTTTTTCGAAAGAAGCAATTCGAAACCGTTACGTAACGGTGCATAACAGGCCGTTATGGCACCATTACGACCGCTATAGCAGCCGCTAAGGCCGACATACCTGTGAACCTTAATCACATTGCAAAAGCGGCCGTAACGAGTGGCGGTAACTACCACAACCGTTACGTAACGGCGTTACGTAACGGTGCGGCCGCTTTTTAAAACCTTGGATGGAGTTCAAATGTCAAGAAAGCCAAGAAATCCCCAATCTGGTTGCCATCAAATATTAAGAGCCTTTTAACAACTGAAATCTGTCATGAAATTAGAGTTGACAAATCAAAGTGAGCCCTGAACTTTCTTTAAGCCTCTATTTAGCTGTCAAGAATTAATTTCTGAATTGAATACTTTTTTTTTTTTCAATCAGAAATATGCTAAACTTACTTGGTACATCGAAAACAAAAAGTTAAAAACCAATCCTTTACATGAAAAACTAAGACTCAACAATTCATTTATCTATCAATGATGATCAGATTCAAAATTTAATAAGAAGTCTTTTCACAAAATACGGCATTTCACAGCATTGCATGGTTGAAAAAGATGCTGAAGGAGGGGGGGGGGCGGTAATCAGCAGGTGTTTCAAAAAATTTCCAGAAACAGGTCGTTTCAGGAAACTTAAGGAAGCACCTTCTGCAATTTTAACTAAAGTTTTAAAAGGCTTTACTGAGACTCGCCTCGAGGCACGGCTAAGGCAAAATGCCTCAAGGCTTTGATATTTAGGCTTTACTCCCCAAAGGCTTGCACACATAGTCTAAGACATGCGCCTTAGGTGCGTCTTGTACACCTTTTATGCATAAGCATGTGAGGAGTACGCATATGAAGTTTGTCTTAGGGTCTTGTTAAACTTACTCTAGTAGATGGTTTAAAAATAAAATAGAAAAAAGAACCCCTTTTAAAACTATATTCTATAGGAAAAATTAAGTAAATGACCAATTAAGAAAAAAAACAAAATTAATGCTCAGTGAGAAACTCAATCACTAAAACTAAGAATACTAATTTCACTTTCAATAAAGGAAAACTTCCTTCTTGTAGTGAACCTTGAGCATAAAAGTATTTACACCTTTACATTTTGATGTATTTATTTATTGTTTTAAAACATTTACTAAATATAAAAATTCAGAATTTGAAATGCTTACGCCTCAACGCCTTAAGGCCAACGCCTTGTCTCATGAGAGGTAAAACGCCTCACATTATGCATTCGCCTTTAAAAACTTTGATTTTAAGCATTCACACTGATCAGAAACTGGAACCTCAGTAGCAATTTCAAAGTTTGGATCTTTTTCATTTACACACACACACACACACACACACACAAAAAAAAAAACTGTTTTCAGAAGCATGGTTTTGACAATGATTCCCAGCAAGCACTAAGGAAGTGCACCAAAATAAATAACACCATGAAGTATGAGAACGAATGGGCAACACCATCCTTGCTTCACCAAAACAAATAACACCATGAAGCATAAGGACAAATGGTGCAACAATCAACCTCACTTCACCTAGAGCTTAAATGCACGATCAAAAGTTTTTTCTACTATTATGTTAATTGTGGCAGGATATATGAAAAGAATATTCACCTTCCCAGATCAAGTAATCCCGTATTTCAAACAGCAGAAAAGAAACCCATTGAAAATTATACACCTAAACCGTCACTGTGTTCCACAAGGCCTTAACAAAGGCAAGCTAGCTATGCAGACTGATATTCTTGCTCAATCATTTGGCAGTAATAAACACACACACACACACACACTTGATGAAAGTGACATCAATGAAAATATGAACACACAATTATAAGGTGCAAGTGAATTACCTCTGGAGAAATCATTCGATACTGCTTCACTCTCTTCTAGACACAGGTATAATTCCTCAAAATTATCATTTTTGGCATTTTCAATCAAGTACTTCAGAAATACAGATGAAATGTACGTTGCATTAATAGCCTTCATATGAGCAGATGGAGACACACCAGAAGTAGAAACACACTCTTGCAAACACCATGCTAAGTGAATTAAAATTTTTGCCATATGCCTTGTGTAATAGTTGTTCTGTGCTGCACAAGGTGATACATATCAGATAGATTAACAAAGCAAAAAGAGTTGAGTAATTAAGGCCTTGTTTGGTTTGTTTCTCAGAAAAAATTTTGGAAAAAATTCTCTACAAACAAATTTTCAAGAGTAATCAAACCAAACAAATTTTTCTAAAAAAAATTTCAAAATTTTGTTTGGTTACTTACTTTCCAAAATCACTCTCTCTCTTATACACATCAAATCAATCACTTTTTTCAAAACTCTCTCTCCAAAACAATTTTCCAAAACCATTTCTGAAAAAAGGCAAACCAAACAAGTTTTCATACTTTTTATCTCAAAAACTACTCTACAAACACAGACCAAACACACCCTAAATGTTTTCAGAACACATTACACTACCAGGGATCTAAGACATACACAGTTGTGTCCACTGTCTATGCTATCATCTACTGATTTCAGCATTTTTTTGCAGCATCCCCCACAATCAGAAATATGCTAAACTTACTTGGTACATCGAAAACAAAAAGTTAAAAACCAATCCTTTACATGACAAACTAAGACTCAACAATTCATTTATCTATCAATGATGATCAGATTCAAAATTTAATAAGAAGTCTTTTCACAAAATACGGCATTTCACAGCATTGCATGGTTGAAAAAGATGCTGAAATGTTTTTGAATCATCGTAAAAACTATTATATTTGTTCTCTTTACACTTAGAAATGAATTTGAGCATTATATGTGCCATTTGTTAGTGCATATTTTCTGTTCTAACTAGAGATTTCTAAATGTAAACCCAGATCCACATTCACTAGCAATTTCCACCTACTGCCTCCAAGTAATATCTAAACGAAGAATGAAAAATTGACAATTATTTCCTCTCCAATGTTAATGATTTCAATGTTTTGTTACATAATTTCAACACACCAAAACAAGCCTTGTGTCCCCAATCAATTAGGGTTGTCTACTTGAATCCTTCATCTCTTTTGCTCTCCTTGAGCTTGTTGGGCTTGAGTATGATTCCTTGAACCTCAGGTCAAGGGGTCAAGATTTAGTGTCATAAGATTTTTTTTCAAAAAAAAGAAATATATATAGATATCTCCATTATGCTCTATCAGGGGCCACATGTTTAGTTAAATTAAATACATACAAAAATTTACTATAATATTCCATGTCAATCTAGGGCTTTCCCTCCATCTAGCATATCATTAGCCATGATCCTATCACACTTCCTCACCATTGCCTCTTACCAATTTTTATTGTATATGACCAAATCATCTTAATCTATTTCTCACACTTGCCTTCAATTAGTGTTATTCCAACCATTTTAGGAATGTATTCACTTCTAATTCTATGTTTCCATGTGTTACCACACGTCCAACCCAACATCATGATTTCAACTACACTCATCTTGCTTACATGTTTCTTAGTTGCTTAACATTTTGTATGGTAAAACATTGCTAGCCTTATAAATGTCCTATAAAATTTTCCTTTTATCAGTATACATTGATCACATAATATGCCATAAACACTCCTCTATTTTAGCCAACCTACTTTAATTCTACAAGCCACATTACACCCAATCTCTCTATTCTTTTTAATAATCAAAACTTTTGTATCACAATTTTTATAGCCGTGTGTATATTAGCAATGAATAGCTCCAAGTCTGCTTGCTTTGCTTTTATGTCTATTATTATAGACTATTTCGTATATCAAAGAAGGCAACAATAGCATGAGCCATCACCCTGGCTTCGTTTAGGATGTGTGTTGGCTTTTTTACTTTTTTTAGCCTAGGCCAAAAAGTCTTGTTTGGGATAAGCTTTTTGACTCATTGATCACATAATATGCCATAAACACTCCTCTATTTTAGCCAACCTACTTTAATTCTACAAGCCACATTACACCCAATCTCTCTATTCTTTTTAATAATCAAAACTTTTGTATCACAATTTTTATAGCCGTGTGTATATTAGCAATGAATAGCTCCAAGTCTGCTTGCTTTGCTTTTATGTCTATTATTATAGACTATTTCATATATCAAAGAAGGCAACAATAGCATGAGCCATCACCCTGGCTTCGTTTGGGATGTGTGTTGGCTTTTTTACTTTTTTAGCCTAGGCCAAAAAGTCTTGTTTGGGATAAGCTTTTTGACTTTTGTGAGAAAAAATGAAATGATTATGGTTTGGATGTGTCATTTTGTTTTATTGGACAAAAAAACTTCTTTTTTTTTTTTTGGGTCTATTTTAACCCCAACCCACCCCAACCCAACTACCCAAACTATAGCATCAAAAGCTTATTAGAAACTCTATCAAATATACTCAAAATTCAAAGTGAGAATTTCATGCAGACTGCGGACAAGCTCACCACACAACGAGATAGTGAGTTCAAGAATTTCATAATGCACAGCATTTCTCCTAAAATCGTGAGCCTATAGACTTTCATAAACCTTTGAATTCTCCAATTAACAATTGAAAATATCAAATGAGGAATTGCAATGAAGCTTCAAACCCTTGCATCAAAAAGAATCTACCAAAGTTATTCAGTTTGTAAGCACAGTTTCACAATGATATTGCAACTGATTCAAAATTGAATGTAGCCAAGAATCTGAATACTCATTATGACCTATATATGAATGCAATATCATGAATAAACAAAAACTACTAACCAAAAACCTCGCAAGCTTCAGAAACACGCTGGGGCGGCCATTGGAGGCTGAGAGGAAGCTCGAGCAATTTCTGCCAGAAATCGGAGGCGAGAGGAAACGATTTCTCGCCGACGAACGTCCCAATTAGATACTCTTCCGTGTCTTGCGGCCGCGCAGCACTGCTCCGGCGCGGCGTTGAAGGCACGGCCCCCATGAACAACCAGCGAAGCTCACTCTCTCTCTCTCTCTAGTATCGGAGTCGAATTCGATCGAGTCAACGATTCAACACTCAATCGATCACAGCAAATGTCATTGCCAAAACGAAGCAACTGAGACGTAAGAGATGGTGATCGGAGCTTTGTGGATCTATGATTGTTTGATACTCTTCGAGGACGAAAGAAGTCAGGAAGAGAGACGCTTCGAAACGAAGGTTGTAACAGGTGTGTGAAAGCGAATCGACATTTTTGGTTCCGGATGGTGAAAAATCGATATAAATTTCCTCAAATTATAAATTGACTAAAGTACCCTTGAAACTTTGATCCAAACTTTATTCCAATTTGACATCAAAATTATAGAAAATATTATGACACACATCTGTCAAAAACTGTCTTTTATATATATCTTAAAAGTATAATTAAAGAAAATATTGTATAATTTGATATTTTTTTAATTATAATTAAAAAAATTATCATAATTAAATACAACATGCGACATAACTAAATAATTCATGAGCCATAATTAAAATAATATCATAATTAAAAAAATTAATCATAATTAAAGAAGAAAATGATATAATTAGAGAGGCATATGATGCATTGTTTTAAGAGTGTGCATGCTAAGAATTTTCCAAACTTTATTACCATTTTAGGTCCAATCAAATTATAATTCTATTAAATCACATGTATATTTAGGGGTGTTTCGGAAGCTTCATAAAAAAACTAGCTTTTTAGCTCTTTTAGCCAAAAAAAAATCACAAAAAAAAAAAATCACAAAAAAGTTAGCTTTTTAAGCAAAAAAAGTCACAAAAAACTAAAAAAAATTAACTAACCTCTCAAAACACCTCTTAAAAGTACGTATTAAGGCTAGGTTTGGCATAACCTATATAATCCATCTTTTTATCTTTTTATCTTTTTTCCATCACACCACATCTCTACTTTTCTGCACATCTTTTCGTAAAAAGACAAAAAGTGTACTTTTTTAAGACACCACAAACCAACCCTAAAATTCTTTAAATTTTATGAGTTTATATAGAAAATCATATTTAACCAATCAATAATTATTATTTGAAACGTCAATTATTATGAATGTACTACAACAAATTATTAACTCATAAATCTTAACTCAAATATAATCAAGATTTAAATATAGATTTGTTGGTACTACACAAAAAATTATACCACTCGGGACTATAGTAATATGATTATGTTGAGATTGAAGAGATGTGAGGTGAGATGCATGACCTTTTTTTATTTTTATGTTGGACTATATGTTTAAACAAACAAAAATAAATAAATAATTAGTTGGACAATGGAAGAAACGTGAGAAACGTGTAAAAAGATTATTTTCTTTTTTCTTTTTATATTTCTTGATCACTTCCAAAATTCAGAATTTTTTTGAGAAAAAGTGAATTGCCACCACTTATGATAAACAAATAATTTTAATATACCCTACATATACTAATAAAATATTATAGTTTTCCCTTTTTTTGTTTTTCTTGTAAATAATACTATTTTTCTTCTATTTTTTTTTTCTTTTTTTTGAACCTCTTTTTCCTTATCTTAAATTGTGTTTAGATCATAAATTTTTATTTTTCTCTTTTATTTTTAAAATGCCTATTAAAATTTATGATTCAAACACATCCTTAAATAATGTTACTTTCCCTTTTCCTTTTCTCTCATTCCAAACATTTAAAAAAGAAAAGAAAAAAAAAAAAACTTAAAAAGACAAAAATTGAATTACATAAAAGAAAGGGTATTTTAGGTATTCAAACGTCTTAATCGGGGGGTAGATTTTCACTAATTGCGGTTTTTTGTAGTCATTAGCAGCTGGTTTTGTTGCCTCGTCGGTGAGAGGCCACGTGGCAACCGCCATTGCATTGTCAATTCTCTCATTTTGATGACTACCGGGCCCACTCGCCTTAAAGATCGTCAACATAACTTTCCCATCCGCCATGATGGGTTGCAAATCGACGACTGAGAATCGATGTTGTCATACACGCGCTACTTATTGTGTTATTGCTCGTATTTTTATTAGGACCTCTGATTTTGATCTTGTGCTTCGCGATCTATTGTATTATTCTGTACCACGGGTTTCATAACCGTTTCATTTTAATCATTGCGTCTTTTCCTAATCCTTGGATTTGATTATTGGCCCAATTCGGGGAAAAAGCGAGGCCCAAATTTTATAATGAAGAGGACATGTCATGATCCATAAGTGGGGCTGATTCTATTTGCACTCAAATTTTATGTATTTTTGTGTGTACATAATAAATAAATAAATAATTTAATAATTATAATTATATAATTTTATTATATTTTTAAAATAAATAAATGACAAGTATAATTTTAAAATAAAATTTATTTTAATGTTTTGTAATTTGAAGAATTTGGATTAATTTTTAACAGGTCATATTGACTTGATTTATTTATTCACAAGCCTTGAGTGAATTATTTTACATATTTATCTCTCGTTTTGATAATAAGAAAAATTTTAAACTTTTTAGATGTATATTTTATTTTTGGATTTATTTGTTCACAAGTCTTGAGTGAATTATTTTACGTATTTATCTCTCGGTTTGATAATAAGAAAAATTTTGAACTTTTTAGATGTATTTTGTGTTTTTGGAATGATCATTTGTAACTAGTAATAATACTGATAAATTTATCAACGTGATAAAACCAAACAAATTTTCTTACTTCACATGTCAAATCAAACTTTCAAAACTCAATTCTACACTCAATTCCACACTCAATTCAACACTTTATTCAAAAATTATAACCAAACAAATTTTCTACACTCAAATCATAATTCTAAAACACACAAACTCAAAAGACAACTCATATTTTCAAATCATAATTACAAAGCTCTACCAAACGGAACCTAAATCATTTACGATGGAGGCCGTTAGTGCTCTCACTCATTTCCTTACCATTTTTTTTAAGTCATTAGCAGCTGGTTTTGTTGCCTCGTCGGTGAGAGGCCACGTGGCAACCGCATTGCATTGTCAATTCTCTCATTTACCGGGCCCACTCGCCTTAAAGATCGTCAATATAACTTTCCCATCCGCGATGATGGGTTGCAAATCGACGACTGAGAATCGATATTGTCATACACGCGCCACTTATTGTGTTATTGCTCGTATTTTTATTAGGACCTTTGATTTTGATCTTGTGCTTCGCGATCTATTGTATTATTCTGTACCACGGGTTTCATCACCGTTTACATTTTAATATTTGCGTCTTTTCCTAATCTTTGGATTTGATTATCGGCCCAATTCGGGAAAAACGCGAGGCCCAAATTTTATAACGAAGAGGGCTTGTCATGATCCATAAGTGGGGCTGATTCTATTTGCACTCAAATTTTATGTGTTTTTGTGTGTACATAATAAATAAATAAATAATTTAATAGTTATAATTATATAATTTTTAAAATAAATAAATGACAAGTATAATTTTAAAATAAAAATTATTTTAATGTTTTGTAATTTGAAGAATTTGGAATAATTTTTAACTGGTCATATTGACTTGATTTATTTATTCACAAGCCTTGAGTGAATTATTTTACATATTTATCTCTCGTTTTGATAATAAGAAAAATTTTAAACTTTTTAGATGTATTTTTTATTTTTGGATTTATTTGTTCACAAGTCTTGAGTGAATTATTTTACGTATTTATCTCTCGGTTTGATAATAAGAAAAATTTTAACTTTTTAGATGTATTTTGTGTTATTGGAATGATCATTTGTAACTAGTAATAATACTGATAAATTTATCAACGTGATAAATGATTGAGACATTTTGACTTTTATTTCTGAATTTTAATTTATTTATGTTAATTTATATTTAAATATAATGTAAGAAGTGTAAATAGTTGAATTGTATTTTTTTAAAAAAAATAATTTATAATGATAATTTATTAATAAAAATTGGAGTAGAACTTTTTGATAAATAAGTCAAATCCAGCCGACCAACACATACCCCTTTGAAATTTGAATTTTTGAATCTATTTATTATTATGTCATCTAGTTGTTAACGTATTATTTTTTATCTAATTTTGAATATATGACAACAAATTGAAAAATATGAATAAGTTTGTTTGTTTTTATTTTTCAAAAAATATTTTTTAGAAAATTCTACTTTCTTATTTTTCGTATTTTTTTGTTTTTACTGAATTTTTTTAATATTTTAAGCAATTTTTTTACTTTTTAGACATACCTAACATAAATACACCTAAAAGTAAAAAAATTGTAAAAAAAATCTTTTAAAAATTCACTAAATACCAAAAATACAAAAAAAAAAATACAAGAATTCAGTACATTTTTTTTTTATATTTTTATGTATTTATTAATTTTTTAAAATATTTTTTCACAGATTTTTTACTTTTTAGATACATCTAACTAAGGTGTATCTAAAAAAGTAAAAAAAATGTTTCAAATTTAAAAAGTATTCACTAAAAACAAAAGAATATGAAAACTAAAAAACTGAATTTTTAAAAAAATTAATCCAGAAAACTCAAACCAAACACACTGATTAAAATTATAAACAACTAAAATAAATAAAAATAAACAAAGCCCAGAGTGGAAAACAGTGAAACTAATATCAACTATTTGGGGGAAGAAAATTGAGAAAGAAGTTTGACACCCAAGCCAATTCTCTTTGTACATGCCAACTACACTTAGCTCATGAACTGTGAACAGCATTCGCCCCGTCTCTTGCACAGACTGGCAATATATGAATGGCAACATCTTTTGTGATCCAAAACCCAATTCTCAATTCCAGCGATGCAACCCATCAACAATTTTCTATGCTTAACTTACTTTGTGCATAGAGATGTTAACTTTGTTTGTTAAGGAGAAACTTACTTGACGAGTTTAGAGGCACTACAATGAAGATGTTACGTAACTCATTAATTGACCCATCCTACCCCCACCAACCCATTAATAGAACTTGAAAAAAAAAAAATGTGACAAGTAACCATTTTTCAAAGTTAACTTAAAAAAAAAAAACGATAAACAAATATTATTTTATTACAATAGGATTAACAATTACTTGTTAACTCAGATTTTATAGTTAATAAAAAGTTTAACATATGATAACTAAAACAATTCCAAACTTAAAACTGAACAGTTCTGTTGAAGGATGAAATATAAGAATTACTTAATTCTATGATAAAATCTGACATTAAATTCATTGAAGAGTCTCCATTGTGGATGCTCTCAGGAAGCAAATGAGCACCCCAGCTTTTGCCCATTTCCTTTAATACTTGCACCCGAATATATCATATATATAATGATGACACACTCTTTGCTTTTGCTGTGCCTCCCAGCAAAAATGTTTCAGTCCATTAATTAAAGATCACTAATAGATCACTAATGATGTGACACTAATGTGGACTCACCATTGATGTGATAGTTTGGCTTCTTTTTTTTTTTTTTTTTTTTTTGCATTGCCAACTCATTAGAGATGACATTAGTGATGCAAATTTAGAGCACTGAATCAGTGTTGGCCTCCCCAGAGGTCCCAAGGGCCAGTTAACACTACCATAAATGATCTTGTTCGGTTTTGGGTTCATTGATTTGAGATAGACAAACATAAATCATGATGAAATATGCATTTAAAGAATGTTTAAGTTGAAGAAGATTGTATATTTAATTATTAGGTTGCATTGCCTTTTTTTTAAGTGACAAAAATTCTCACAATTTATGTTGATGAATTACAAGATTATATGTTATATCACTCTTTTAATATTAAGTTTAATTATTAAGTTGCGTTGGCTTTTTTTGAGTGACAAAAATCCTCACAATTTATGTTGATGGATTACAAGATTATATGTTATATGACTAGAGTATAAAAGTCTATTTAATTCAACGATAAATTTTTTTATTGATATTTTAATAGCGTGGATTCAAATCATAAAAATAGTTTTTACAATCTCCACAAATGGGAGGTTAAATTATGCATGTTTTTAATAAATTAGGTCTATATATTTTATTTTGAGTATATTTTTATGAGTGAAAAGTATTTCCAAACCCTATACATGACATGAATGACATGCATGTCAGTGTTACATCATATGGCAAGTATATTTAGTGCACAAATTTAATCATATAAACATTATTCAGATTAAACATAGAATAGTTTTTAGTGAATTAAGTACAAAAAATGCTATGCACCGTACTTATATGATCTACCCATTTCACTTGTTAGGCTCTTTTTTTTAATTATTTTTTAATACACAACATTATTGATTAAGTACAATGACATCTTACCTTGGTCTTTGTGTTGAGTTGAGATAAAAATTGCTAGTGTCACCTGTTCGAATTACGGCATAAGGAGACATGTTTGTGACCAAACAGACAAAATAAGTTAATTATTCTATAATTTCGAAATATAGACACATGATATTTCATAGTATAATAATTGGTGGAGAAAGTAAGTAGGTGAGGTATTATGTTGGATGATTAGAAAATATGAAGAAACCTATTAAATGATGATTTATTAAAGAATACAAACACGTGACATTTCTGAAATATTTAATAATTTCCCGACAAAATATGAATGGACAACAATTGTTAAATCAACACTTTATGAAAATATGTTTTAGATCAAAAATTACTGTAGCAACTGTGGCATGAGGACTAGTTTTTGTTGCCGACAACACATTAACAATATACAAATTATTTTTTGGGCCCAAAATATATATATTTTCGTCTCTAATGCATTTTCAATAAAAAATCTCAAATACAAGAATATTGAGATACGATTATACAACTGAAAATATATTAAGACGTAAATTTTATGAACAAAAGATCTCGTATCTTAAATTTCTTATTTCTAATCTTTCAGTTAGAGGATTTTGTACTCCAATCTTTTTTTGTCCCAAATCTTCCATGTCACAACAAGTACATTCTCTCTATACTACACGACCAATCTCTTATGTTTTGATTCTTTCTTATGTTTTGATTCTTTGGTTGAAAGAATATTTTAGGATAGGAAGACAGTAAATCCTGTGATCTTGCTAAAGAGAAAAAAAAAATAAAAACAAAAATAACTTCGAAGATGTTACGCCAATTTATGGATTTTGAATTTCCGTAGTCCAAACAATTCGAGACCAACTACTTATAAAATAAATAAGAATTAGTCTGTGATTGTTACACCAAATTTTGGGTTCATGAACATACCATTGCAAGTAGTGCTTTGCAATCGTAATAGAATTCAATTTCATTGAACCTCCAAATGACAATCAATACTCCATATTGGTTACTCAGTTCCCTCCCACTTCTGAATGCTGTAAAAACCATATGAATTTATAGATTGTTGAAGCAGACATAGGTACAGAAGTAGACAAGCCAGACTCCATTTTGAGAGAAGTTATATAATATTCCGGGAACATCATGTGACCAATATTTGACCATTTTTTAGGGCATGCCATTAGCAAGGGGGATGATCATGTGGGAATGAGAAAAGTCAGGATTATGAAATTTTTTTCATGAAAATGATCATGAAAGATTTATGATCCTTGGATTACTTTGATTAGTGTGTGGTGTTTTATTTTAAGTGTAATCCAAGGGTCACAAAACTTTCATGATTATTTTCATGAAACATTTTTCATGATACCTAGCATTGCTGTGTTAGAATTCCCGACTCACCTGATAATTTTACTAGTTTGGGCTAGAACCCAAGAAACCAAGCTGCTCTGCCAACACATCTACATTCTCTTCATCTTCTTCTTCAATCCCTTCATTCAACAAGTCCTCCCAAAACCCTTCATCAACTCCTTTGTCTCCTCTCTCCTGCATTTCTTCATTCCCCACATGTTCTTCCTCTACGTTCTGTGATGATCCACTTAATCCCTGTATGTCCCCCGCAAGTTGCTCTAGTTCCAAATCACTGAACCCAGATATGTCGTAGTCTTGATTTTCTTGCTTAATATCAAGGCCTTTTTCACAAACTCCAACATCAACATTGACAGGACCTTGATCAATTGACCTCCTTCTCTTCCTACAAATCGCTTCCTCAAGCTCTTTTCGTCTCTCCTTTTGCATCAATTGTTGCATAAAACTTGGATTCTGCATTGCCTTTGCCAAGAAACCGATCATTTGTTGCTGTTTCGTCTCTGTCCCAATTAGTCTTTCCTCCATTGCTTCAAGGTAAGCTCTAGTATTCTGCTGTTGCTGTCTGAGTTTCACCAACTCCGCCATTAAAACCTGCTTGTCACGCCTCAACCGATCAACCTCTATATCCAATCCAAACGTACCCACTTCGACACAAGGCTCTAGGCCTTGTCCCCTTGAAGTCTGAGAATGAGAAGATGTTTTTCTCCTCCTAATGTTCCTCAGAAGATGCTTTTGTCCTCTCAAGAACCCTTCATTAGCAAATTCCCATCTGTCTGGATCAACCTTTTTAAAGCCCTGCACATTTCATATTACTTGGCCTTGATCATACACCAATGAAATCTACATAGGTAGCATTGAGAATTGTATAAAAGATATATCTAAGTTTGATGAATAATGAAACCTTCTATGTAACAATATTGCAAATGGTGAATAACAGATTTGATCAGGCTGTCTGATCTATATATCACTGTATTGTCGATACCGACTGGTATTGTTATTTAAAACCATGAATTAGATAGTGTGACATTTATAGTTTATTTTACTCATCCCTCCACTTGCTTTATTAAACCAACAAACAAACAGGATGTCTACATTGATGAGAAACTCATTAAACAAAGAAAAGAAGTACCAAATCAATCTATCGTAACTGAAAAATAAACATGAACTTTCTAGCCCTTTCTTGAATGAACATGAAAGATGCCAAATCTGAACCACCCACATCAGATTATGATATTAAATCAAGACAAACTTCCCATTTATTGATTGTAACTAAAAAGATGAGAAGGAGGTGTTTGAGTTTTTGTTGAAGGGAGTAGATATACTTACGTAAGTGTTGAGTTGCCTAACAAAGCTTGAGAAATTGCAATGCTTGAAGTACCTAGGAAGAAGATTCATGGAAAAAGCCCGATGGTCCCAAACAACAAAACTGTTGTTGCCTTTGCTCCAAGAAATTACATGATTGGTGTTTGGATCTTCAACTAAGTCATAAGTTTTGGAGAGGAAAGGTGGAGGGCCTGTGCCATGAAGTCCCTCCATTGGTCGAGGAACAACTGTGGACGGCTCACCGGGGTACGATGAACTCAATCCAGGAGGATTCATGATGGAGATTGATCAAATGAGAAGGAGATCTATGAGGTTTGCCTATTAGAATGTGGTTTGGTTGTTGGGTAGATACGAAGAAGCCTAATGGATCTTCAGTCCTAACAACAAGTCTCCAGTCCTAGATATGAAGAAGCCTTATGGATCTTCAGTCCTAATAACAAGAATGCAGTTCTATGTAAATCTTTCCTGAAATGGGTAATGAGTTTTTCTTGATGGGTTTTAAAAATTAAACACTATACATACATACATACACAAAAAAAACCCAAGATTAAAATGAACGATCGATCAAGATCAAAGGGTTAGCCTACTAAATGAGGTGATATATTACGAAGCGTGGTATCTGAGTTTGAGTCTTATCACTGCCTATGAGAAGTTTTCTTGGAGAAGAGACATGGAAACAAAAATGGGTCCTGGTGGAGATTGAGATCAACATATAGAAGGTAAAAAAAAAAAAGTAGAAGTTTGAGAATCTGGAAGTGGTTTTCTGGCAATATAGATAAGAATCATCTGAAATGGAAATCAAGAAACACACAGAAAATTTGAGAAACTGAGAAACAAAAAGACTAAATAGGAACTGAATGTCAATGTCATTGATTCATATACATGTGATGATGATGCATGTATATAGGTGTACATGCTTTGTGCTAGAAATGAATAGATGGGAAGCTGATGATGGAAAAGAGAACCAAAATTGGACTGTTTGACTCTTTAGCTATTTTTAATGCCCCACTTCTTACTCCTTTTGGGAAGGTCGTTTGGCAACAACAAAAAAACAATTCTTTTTTTTTTTTTTTGTTCTTTGCACAGCCAAAAGACAGGTAATAATAGGTGTAGGATGAGCTCGCGTGTACTACCCCCATTCAAACCTTTTTGCTCTTTGCTTTTTGATTAATATTTATTTATGATGTTAAATCACAATAAAATGATTAAATTATTCCTATGCAATTTAAAATATTTATAATTTCACTCATGTAGCATATTTTGGCTCATGAGAGGTAGAATTGTAATTTCACCAGTGACTGAAATCCAACTTCTCAAATGTCTAAATATAAAAAAGCCAACTTTTAACTTTTGTTACAAACGCACAAACGTGGCTAAAAGCCAAGTGCCCAAAACAGGCCTCTGTCTCCATCCAAAGACAGAATTAAATAATATACAGCAGAAGCTCATCAAAGATGCTGTTGATATCCTCTTTATTTTTAATAGTCATATATATATTTTTATGATTAAATTATGTGTATATAAACTATCAATACTAAAGCAGAATTTTTTATTTGTTAAAAAAAATAAAGTCTTTATTACCTAAACATGATCAATTCCTTTTGTTTATCAAAAAAAAAAAAAAATTATAATGACTTCCTTTTGAAGTTTTGAAAAATACAGTAATATAACTCATTTAAATTTATTTTGAATTTGAATGAGTTCAAACGGGTTTGTGGATTGTGCTCCAGAATTGTCTGGAATTTCCACTAGGGGAGGAGTGATGTTTGAAGCATTCATGTTGCCTTTGTGTCTAGTTGTATTATTTTTAGTTTCTTTTTCTCTTTTGCAAGTAAAAAGTGGACCATACCAGATTTTAGGTCAATAATGTTGGTGAATTCTTTACTTACTTGACATGAAAGAAAAACTGCCTTATTGTGTTGAGTTGAGCCACATTAAATTAAACTATTGTAAGCTTTGTAGCTGAAATAGTTTTAGTTGGTTGGGAGAAAATATCTTGCCATCTTAATATTATTATATGCATTAGTCAAATAAAGTTTCATTACAAAAATAGATAGTATTTCTCTTGCGTAAAAGGAGTTTACAATCATTATTGGACTTAAAAGGATTTATTCATCGTTGTCATTTTTCTTATTATTTTATTTTATTTTATAATTTAAGAGAATGATAAGTTGCATACCTCAACGATAAGACTTGGATTTAAAAATCGTACTAAGTAAAGATGTAACTCATTCACCAAGTTAATCCCGAGTTTTGATCCTGTTTTTCATATTCAATATACAATTTTTAGAGAAAAAAAATGTCAAGCATTAAAGCACAAACCAAGGTGAAAATGTAGGACTTAATAGAGATTTTACCTCGAATTACATTGCTTTAAATTTTGTCTGCTATTGTTTGGTGAAATAATTCATCCGAGGATTCTTAAAATCCAATGGTGTTCAACAGGTGGACAATTTTGATTGGTTCACACTTGCAATATGCATCTTAATATTAATTTTTTAATAGTTGGTTCATTTTTGAAATTTGAATCCTTTCTAGTTTAAAAATTATATTATAATAGATTCAATTTCAGATTCAATTAACAAATTTCATGTTGTAAAATATAATTAATATTGTAAAAATTTTTGTGAAATATAATATTGTGAAACTTTTTGAAGCGAGGCACCACCATAAGCATAATAGGATATTACAAAAATAACACTAAAAATCACTATATTAAAATTAAAAATTGACACAAACATATATTCATCGTATTCGTATTAATTTTAGTTAGTTGATGTTATGTGAACCGCACAATAATTACCAAATCGCATATATTCAGACAAAACAAGACAGGTCATAATTTAGAACAGTGACTAACATGGAAAAAAGGAGGAATAGCATAAACCAAATTAGACAAAAACAAACCAAATTAGACAAAACCAAATAAAAATATTAAACTAATAAGGAATATGGAGCTTCAAGATGGTTGTAGAAGATGAGATCACAAGAGGCACCAAATCCAATGGAGAATTTCAAAAGCAAAGTTGGACTTTAAAGAAAGGTCTGCTACATATCTACCTTTAATTAATAGCACTATTTCTCTCCCTTTTTTTTTTGGGGGGGGCTATTATGACTCCTGGAACAAATTATTGCCTCCAAGATATGCAAATTGAATGTTAATAATTTGTAAATAAAATTAAAAATAAAAAAAACATGAGTAATTTTAAAAAATATGTATTTATGTTATTTTTACCCTATAAACTATAAGAAGAATTTATAACCGTAACACAAAATCTCAAAAAAAAAAAAAAAAAAAAAAGAAGCAAGAAAATAACCATAAACATTTTATTTAACTGTAACTAACAATACCACCTCAAAAAACTTAAAAAAGAAGCCATTCAATAAGCACATGCTCTCACAAACTCATATAAGCAGATTTACATGATATTTTACTTTCATATTTATAACAATCATTCCTTGAACATATTCTGGACATATAAGTTAGACAAGCATACAATTCCATAGATAAAAGGTATGTTCCCTTCCCTATTATTTTTCCTTATTTTTTTAATAAGAAGTCACAACAGTTCCTAAGTTTTTAAAACAAAAAAACAGAATTCAAGCTGCAGCAACAGCAGGACTGGCAGCTTCCTTCTGCACAAAGGTTTCAAGATACTCTTTCCTGCAAATAACAAGCCAACTTATTTAGACTAAAGGAAGAATCCAAAATATTGAATTATTATTGATGGAAAAAGGAAATAAAATGATCATGAGAACAATAAAAAAACAGAGTCCACGATGATCAGCAACAGAAAACAAAGGTCAAGACATACCTTGCAGGTAAATCTATGTTACCAGAGACTTACCCAAAAAAAATCTATGTTAGCAGAAAACGCTAATACCCTAACAAATTACGTATTAGTACGCACGTTCCGAAATATGGTTACATTTTTATTCTAAGACGGTAAATTTAGTGATCCAAAGCGATTCTAATTTTTTTTTTTTCCTTTCAATATATGTCCTTAAATGTTACCTTAGGAGAAAAAAAATCAAATATATTGAACTAAAATCTAAGATGAGTTAAAGTTTTGACGAGACGAAAACATCAAAAAAATGTCATAATGCTCATAAAAAATATTACATTTTATTGGATGTCTAATAGTTTAAAAAAAATTATTCTGGAAGTACCATAAATTCTTAAGTATAATACATACAGATCTACCCCTTATCATACTACATTTTAGAGCATGTGGTGTGTTACGTTCCCATTTCCGTTCCATGTACCGAAACAATCCACATTTCAGATAACATAGGGTAAAATGATCATGAGAACAATTGAAATGAGTCCAAAATGGATAGTTTTACTTGTCAAGTTTAATGGGATCTTCCATTTTATTTGTCAAGTTATATAGAATTATATACTAGAAGGTAAAATCTCAAGCTTACATATCAAAGTCACATAGAATTTTCAAGTTTATACAAAAAAAAAAAAAAAAATTATTTTATTTTTTTGGCTAAAGATAAGAGATTAAATTGTTATTGATGGACATTCATACTTCTCTCCACAAGCTCAAACCCGAACCTCTTGAGTTTAAATGTTAAGAGTCGCAAAAGAATTTGGATTTACATGCCAAAGCCACATTGCATCTTTGTCCCAAAAGTTGACATCAACACATCTCTCTTTAACAGGCATGACAAAAGTTGACTTTGGCATTCTCAATTAAGTAGATCTGAAGCCAAATTAAGGACATAAAAACTTGTTTATTCCCTTGAATTGAGGGCTCTTTTCAACTTACGATCTACAAAAAACCCTCCACTGCTTTATGGTCTCATATCGGTCTAGAAATTCCTATTACTACAGAGCACTATTAGATTAAATAAAACACAAGGAGTAACAATTTTATTGATACATCATCAAAAGGGGTTGTATTAGAGTGACATTATGGCATTACATACATAATGATAAAATATAACATTAGACATGACATAAGTACATTTCATACACAAACTGAGCTTCAATGACATTCCCACCCACCGACAATTTCATCGAATGCAAACCGCATCACACAACAAATCAATCAAGGACACTTATGACCTTTATTTCCAATACAAAGTACGAACTATATTCAGTAAATAACACTAGACAAAAAATTTATAAAAGCTTTTGTAGTAGTTTCACGTATGTCCAAGAAAGCAAACTAGACAGCACGGCCACAGATACAGTTTTGAGAAGCAGAATATATTTCAAGCTGAAGCATCAATAGCGTGATTGGCTTCTCCCTTTTGCACAAAATTTTCAAGATACTCTTTCCTGCAAGTAGAGTCCACATGACTTGAGTAAAACACTAATATGTCTAATTGTCAATGGTTTTTTAAAGAATTAACAAAACCATAAAAAAGAAGAAAAACAAAAACCATAAGAAAAATCATACCTTGCAGGTAAATGATCATGAGGTCGATTATATGGAGTCCAAACTGGCTCACCAACAAACAACCGCATTGCCTACAAAGAACATATTCCATTAAAAACGCTTGATTAAAATCATAGACCCAAAAATTTTCACCAGCAATGATCTGTTGATTACCATAATTATATATTAAGTATCAGATATAAATGTTGGCAGATCCCAAGTAACAGGATTAAGGTTTCTTAAATTTGAGTTCAGTTGAGATCTCTGTCGTTCTGGTATCACAGCCCTTATTCAATCCCAACTCCTCCACCATTGATTTGTAAACAAAGACAGCATAAAAAGATAAGTAAAAGATTATTTAATCTAATTCTATCGAGAGTATGATACTCCCATATCTCAGCACTACAAGTTTGGTATTTCTTTCCAGTTAGACACCCTTCAAAATTAACCATAATGTAAGTAATTAATATATAAAAATCATAATCAAATTTGTGCCTCTGACAACAGCTAGGTTCCTAACAGACAGTGACAGAGGTAAGTTTTTATGTATCATCAAGAAATCAAAAAAACTATGCTTGTATTGTTTGTACCTTAATGTAGTTGTTTGAATCAAGTGTGAAGCGATGATAAATTCCTGCAGGTAGGACAATCAGTCCCCCTTTCTTTAGCCAAACACGGATCCAAGATTCATTGCAATCCCTCACATCAAAATATCCTTCACCATGAAATACAAATTAGAACTTTGAACTTGGCATACAGAGTGGGAGATATAGTTAAATAAATCTAACTTATCCTACCACTTCCTGCAAGACAGTAACGGATCTCCTCATCTGTGTGGAGATGTTCCTCAAAGAAGCTTTTAATCTTTTCTTCATAATTTGGCAACTTCTCCGGGCAAACCTCAATTATGTCCTGAGGAAAAGTCCGCATCTTGTTAAAAGATGTAGTAGGCACACAGAATCATCTATGTTGTATTTTAAGGGCACAAAACTCATATAAACAAAACCCTTGATTTAAAATATGAAGATAATAAACTACTCACTCCACAGAAAAGAGTGGAATATAGATGGAAAAAATAAAAAATAAAAGAGTTTCTTAACAAACCGTGTAGGAATATCCACGATCTTCACGAATTGTTTTCAACTTATCATCATTTTCATAGTTATCAGCGTCCAATTGCCAGCTAAGTACTCCCAATTCTACAAGTTAGAACAAAAGTTCATGGTGTAAGAAGGTAAAGTTTCATACATTTGGTGATGATCTTAAATATTTAACCTAAATGTGAGTAGTACCAGCAAGTTGGTCCAGCGATACATATTCTTTGGGACTGCGGTGATGGTGGAGCCTCTGGTCTTCATCACTATCATCCATATACCATGCTTGTATGACTTCCTCTCTATCGTCCTGTAGGAAACAAGAATGTTAAGAAAGAGCATTACAGGATTATCCTGTTTGGTTTACACATTCTTTTCCCTAGAGAGAGAGAGAGCGAGCAACAGACCAACAGCGCAGGCAATGGGCTGCTGTCTAAACAACATTAAAACACCATATAAATTTCTAAGAACTTTCTGCGTTATAAATTTCAACATCTGCTTGTTGTTTGGTAGATTTTCTCTATAAAAGCAAGTAACAATTAGCATATGGATTTTCATCTCAAAAGGTGGAAGTAAGAAACAACTCATTTTTGATAAGATAGCACAATAGCTTTTACAGTCCAATTTAAGTTCAACCACCAGCCCATTAGATGGAGGTGAGGAGTAAAATCGGTACAAACCTAACTCTCAGGTTCAAACCCACAATGTCAAGGTTAGTGGGCCGATATTTAACCACACTAAACCAATGCCATTTTATATGAATCTTGATAATCAATTATTAGACTTTTATAAATTTAGATTGATTTCAATTTATCTTTCCAAATATTTTTATGTATTTTCAAATTATTTTGAATTGAAATTTGAAACAACACACCACCGAAACAAAATTTTGATTCTTGCTTTCACTATGAAAAGTTCAATTTTTATAGATAACTTTGAATTCGTACTTTATCAAGGACAATTAGGTCCACCTTGCTAACCGTGGCAAAACAAAATTGCACCAATCCAATCTAAATGCACACAACCCCACCACCACAATCAAGCAAATCTAACAAACCACTTGATTTATTCGTGAAGTAGACGCCTGTAATCGCAACAACCCAATACGAAGAAGAAGAAGAAGAAAATTTCAAAAACCAACTAACAAACAGATTCAAATCCATGGTATCAAATGGGTTATTGAATTACCCAAATCCTAACAAATTTGAATCAATTAGCATATTACTAACTATCTCAATACGTATATGTAGAAGTCAAACTCACAGAATTGGGATTCAACAGATTGTCGATCATTATAGCAATCACAAAACCATAATGGGGAGATGAAATATGTGAAAGATTTAGCAATTACCTTGCATGAAGACCCCATGTCTGTGATCTGGCTTTCTTTCTCTCTCTCTAGAAATCTCTAGCTAACTCTGTCTGTCTCTGAATGTTGTGAGCTTTGAAGCAACGCTATATAATATAACTCGTGTCGTGTGAATAATTGAATATCAGTTACCAGAATAAACATAACATAATAATGACACTATGTAGAAAGGCGACGCCCTTTCTATATTTTGACTATCCATCTACCTCTGTCCAGATTCATCGACCTTTGACCCACCCAAACCAATGGAACGGAATCAAGGTTCTTTTGGTCATTTCACTTGAGAAATAATAGGTAATGCATGACGACATGTTGATTGTTTTTTTTTATTTTTTTATTTTTCTTTTTGAGGACAAATTATAAATTAGTAGAGGAATGAGAATGTAATTCGTGATAATCTTTTTTTTTATGAAAGTAACTTTTTTTATTTTGTGCAAGTGTTATTGGTGAAGTTGTACGAATTGAAGTTGCACCAACATTTAAAATGAAATTATTTCATTAAAATTAGTCATGTATACATTCCGATAAAATCATTGTGTAAGACACTCAAACTTAAAAAAGTAAGAGCTAGTATTGGTTCAAACCTATACTAACTAACGAAACTATTCAGTGTATTTGGTTTGAATTTTTTAAATTAAATTTTTTAAAAATTGAATTTTTTTATTTTCGTATTCTTTTATTTTTAGTGAATATTTTGTAAATTATAAACATTTTTTTTTACTTTTTTATATGCACCTTAGTTAGATGTATTTAAAAAGTAAAAAATTTGTGAAAAAATATTTTAAAAAATTAATAACTACATAGAAATATAAAAAATGTACTGAATTCTTGTATTTTTTTTTGTATTTTTGATATTTAGTAAATTTTTAAAAGATTTTTTTTACAATTTTTTTTACTTTTTAGGTGTATTTATGTTAAGTGTGTCTAAAAAGTAAAAAAATTACTTAAAATATTTTTAAAAATTCAGTAAAAACAAAAAAATACGAAAAATAAGAAAGTAAAATTTTCTAAAAAATGTTTTCTGAAAAATGAAAATAAGCAAATTGATTATTATTAAACCTCAATCAAATAGTACTCTCCCAAATTTCAAGTCTAAATTTAATGTGTATTACAATTGTTTGTAGATAAGTTTTTCAAAGTTAAAAATTGGAGAACTGACCCAAAGGTCCAAGCCCAACATATCATACCCCATTAAGGTCCAAAACAAATTTAATACTCCATTAAGTCCTCAAATTATCTATAAGACAAAAATACCCACAATATATCATCCAATTTACACGCGCGCAACCATCACTCACGATCATCTCAGTCTGATTAGTACACTGTCACATCTCCGCCGCTCGAAATCGAATTCTCAGTCCTCCATCTCTCTTCCGTTCGACTCCATTTCCTCTGAAACCTTACCCTAACCACAAAACGAAACCGTTTATCTCCATTACCGACGATCATCTCAGTCTGATCAGTACACTGTTACATCTCCGCTGCTCGAAATCGCATTCTCAGTCATCCATCTCTCCTTCGTTCGACTCCATTCCCTCTAAAACCCTACCCTAACCACAAAACGAAACTGTTCATCTTCAAACACAACACCAAGTCGTTCATATTCTCCAATCGGTGACTCTCAACAACACGAAAAACCATCACCACTCTGAAGAAATTTCATAGTTCCTGATTTCCGATTCACAGAAATGGGGAAAAAAAGTAACATCTCTCTTCACCTATTCATTATTTTTTTATTCAAATTTGTACATTATTCTTTCATATTTCGTATATACACATTTTACATACTTCAAAATGTATAAACCCTCTTTTATATATAATCCCCTATTTTAAAACATTCTAATCCCCTGTTTTTAAACATTCTAATCCACTGTTTTTATACATAAATCCCTGTTTTTACACATTCAACACATTCAAATTTGTACATTATTCTTTCATATTTCGTATATACACATTTTACATACTTCAAAATGTATAAACCCTCTTTTATATATAATCCCCTATTTTAAAACATTCTAATCCCTGTTTTTAAACATTCTAATCCACTGTTTTTATACATAAATCCCTGTTTTTACACATTCAACACCTTATTCTTATTCTTGTTGTTCAATATTGGCTTTTCTTATTGTTATTGTTGAATACTTAATCTTTTCGTTGTTATTGTTGCTGTTTACAAAATACAATGGGTTGTTCTTATTGTTGATACTGTTTATAAAAACTGTAACATCATACAGTTTCATTTCATCACTCTACAAGTAACATATCTAAATTTATTCAAACTGCAAATGAAACTGCAAAATTACACAGTTTAATCATTACTCAAAACAAATAGGTAACTTATTATAAAGTGCAAATCAAACTGTCAAATTATACAGTTTCGTAACTGTTACTAACAAATACATATAACTTCATATTAAACTACATATAAAACTTCAAAATTATACAGTTTTGTCACTATATTATTCATACCCTGCTGTCGTTTACATTTTTTCAGAAATAATTGTTGGAAGATATTGGAAGAAACAAACCCATATGCCCAAAAATCCAATCAGGGATTTAAGTATCTCCCATTTTGAAAGTCCTTCTCCTGTATCCACTGAAATGCCACCAATATCTCCCCCTCCACAAAAAACTCAACCACCACAACCAAAAATAACCAAACACCACAGACCCTACCAAAAAACCCACAAAACAACCACACTACTTACAAGAAAAAGCCCAAAAACTACACCACAGACCCCACCCACACAACAAACACCAACCACACCTCCAACCACAACAAAAACAAACAAAAGAAAGCCAACAAAAAAACAAGAAGCTCCTCCAACCAAAAAAAGAAAGCTCCAAGAAAGCCAATCAACTCCCAAAACAAAAACCAAGGCATCAAAAGAGAAAAAAGCAGCAGGCCCTGCAAAGAGAATCCAACAATTTAATTACCGTTCCAATATCGGAACAGTAATCAAACTGTTGAAGGGGGTCAAATTCACAAAAGCCTAACAGACAGAGCTGGAAAAAACCCCTTTTTGGCCCATTATAAATGTTCTCTCCTCAACACAACTGAAGGTCTCTTGGTGCAGATGCTACAATTCCATTGTAGCAGAAATGACAACACTCTACAACAAAAGAAAAAGAGCATTTATACTTGGCAAAAAGGAAAGGAAACTCAGAAATAGTGATGTCAAGCTTATTTTTGGTATCGACTGTGGAGAAGACAGCATCACCACCAAATCCTATGCAAGACCAAAGGATTTTGAGCTTCTATTTTACAAACGAAGATGCAAATCAGTAAAGAGATTGGATGGCAAGTCTTTGACCAAAAGGTTTCAATAAACAAAAAAAGGAAAATCAACCAATGATCATCAAGATCTTGCAAGGGTCATCACTTTTTACTTGTGTTTGAAATTTCTCATGCCTACAACATGCCATATACTCAGTTGGAGTTTTCTCAACTATGTTGACAATCTCAACAACATCAAGAAGTACAATTGGGTTGAGGCAATAAAAGACACACTGATGAATTCAATGGCAAATGCAAATAACAACCTAAGGCATGTCACTGGATGCGTTATGTTACTCTTGGTAAACACATTACTCAACTACTTCACACAAAAATATTAGACATCCACCTATTTCTAACTATCTAACATATTTCAATTTTTTTTTTTTACAGTACTGGTACTATGACACAGTAAACTCCTCCGACCATCTAACAAAGAAGGCTTCCCAAGGTTTATGAAATAGAACCTTGGCAAAATGTACTCTAAGTAGAAACACATCAGCCTTGCTCACTTTGAAAAGTTATTCAAACTCTTCTATACTATCATAGCACAAATATATTCAACACCTCTTTCACAGTCATTATAGTAAAAATCATGTTATGAAACTGTCAAATTCTTCAGTTTCAAACAACATGTATTCAACACTTGGCTCACATTATTCACAATACAAATCATATTATGAAACTGTAAAAGTTTGCAGTTTCAAAGCACACATTTATTTAACATCACTCATGTTATGAAACTGCAAAAGTTTATAGTTAAACGCACAAATCTATTTCACATCACTCATATTATGAAACTGTAAAATTTTTCAGTTTCAAGAAACATATTTCGACACTTAACCCACATTACTCACAGTACAACTCATCTTATGATTACTGATATATGCCACATTGTTCCAATGCAGGTTAACCAAAGTGCTTTAACCCCAACTGAACAAGAAATATAGTTATTACATATCAATCAAAGCATATAAATAGACTTTTCAGCAAAGAAACATGACCAAAAAAAGGGCAATAAGCAAAAAAAAACAAAAAAATAAAAAAAAAAACTTCTAGACAGTGATGAGGATGACTTTCTCGAAGAAGAACATCAATCAGAATCAGAATCCGAACAAGAAGAACAACAACAAAAAAAGAAAACAAAACAAAAACCACAAGAAAAACCAGAAAGTGATGAACAAGAAGAAGAGAGTGATGATGAAAAAAAACAAGTGACTGATGAAGAAGAAGCTGATGGAGAAGAAATTGAAGAAGAAGAAGAAGAAGAAGAACCTGATGAACAACAACACAATGATGAAGTAGAAGAAAGACAAGAAGCAAAAGGTGATCAACAAGAAGACACTGATGAAAAAGAATACCAACAACAAGAACAAGAAGAAGAACAAACAAACCAAGAACAAGAAGTCAATGAACAAGAATTGACAAACTAACAAGAACTCCAAGAGAAATCTGACATATTTCATGCACAAGGTAAACGATTGTCTAATACTAAAGCAAACTGCAAAATTTAATTAAACTAACCAAAACACAATCCAACATTTTTATAGGTCATGACCAAGCACAAACACCAACCAAAAAGGACGACAAGGACAAGCTTAAATCAGTCATGAGAGCACAAATGCAAGATATAGAACAAAAATTCATGGCTGAATTGCGTAAAAAAGAAGATCAATTGAAAGAAATGTCCACCAAAAAAACTGGCAGTCCCCAACAAAGATCAATGGTTAAAAGAATCAAACAAAAATCAAGAAAACAAGCACATGACCCATATTTTGAATACCAACCAATGACAAAAGCCAAAAAAGATACAAGGAACAAGACACAAACTGTTGCTGATGTATCCAAACCAACAGAGGGTACCGATAAAGAAAAAGAGATTGAGAATAAAAAGAAAAAAGA